TCATATGTAAATAGCGCCACCCATTCATATGTAAATATCACAGTGGAGACTATTTTCAGTGGGGGGCCAGTAGCCCCTATCTTAATTTTGGTTGCCCCTATCTGCCTGACATCTTGTGTCCCGCTTTCAGCTGCCATGAAACCCGGACACAGCATTCAAAACCCGGACTGTCCGGGTGAATCCTGGACAGGTGGCAACCCCAGTTGTCACCTGGATGAGGAAGGCCAGATGACAAGCAAGGTATTGCCATCCATCGCATGTCCTCGGAAATCAACCAGCACACTGGCAGATTGCAACGAGGACCGAAAGTTCCCTAATCTGGACACAGGTAACAACTGTAAACAAAACACACTAAAATCCGACTGCTTCCATCAGATGTCAACTTAATCCAGCTGACAGTGACTCACTAACTGGAGTGCGATCCTTGAATGACAGAGGAGGAATGAGGGGAGAGCTTACTTTCGGCGGGTTAAGCAGTGCTGTGTGTAGTTACCACAACCTGCAATACTGCTGGCCACCACTGGAGGGCGACTTATGTGCATCACCCAATTCTGATGGCTAGGTCAAGATTTCCAACACCAGCTCATCATCCCGATCACAACGAATCCAAACAACACCTGACCGCTGGCAGCAGGGCCCATATAACTGATATGCTGGTCCCCAGGGTGTGCTTTCAGTCTTTGATATACCACTCTGTATCCTCAGGAGACTCTTACGCGGCATTCACACCTAAGTGACATTTATTAGGCGCGTTTTACGTGCGTCTTTTTTTAGCTTTTTTTCCTTGTTTTTGCGCACGTACGTTAAGTTGCGCGCTTTTGCGAGCAGATTTTGGCACATTCATATAAATGGGTAAAACGTGCACAATACTGCGCAAAAAAATAATCAAACCGCACTTTTTCAAGCATTTTCTATTGCGTCTATAGAGACAAATTGCACTGAAATCTGCCCCAAAGTAGCTCATGTACTAATTAGCGCAACAGGTGTTTCTCTGCTTGCGACAAAACGCAAAGGTGTGAACGGGATTCCTGGGGTTGAGCATTTTGTCGCAGTGAATCAGTTGCGACAATATGCCTAGGTTAGAACGGGCCTTCATATGTACTATAAAAGGTTAGAAGTTTCCCTACAATGAACATGTTAGATTTTATTAGCGATGAAACATACGGGGTTATTGACAAAGCTGCCGAAGGCACTCCGGCTATTCACTCCGGCTCAGTGCGGCTGATTTCAGCCGTACATCGGCTGAAATCAGCCAGCCAAACATGCTCTGCATTTTTGGCTGAGCCGAAGTGCAAAGGGACCTCATCTCAGACGATCCAACACCTAGATCGGCTGAGCCGAAGCTCCGGCAACTCACTCGCTGCCGTTCGCCCCTATTCTCACAGGGGCCGAATGGCAGTGAGTGAATATCCGAATGCTGCCGAGCGGCATTCGGCTTGGCAATTCTGCTCTCTACCTCCGAGGTACCGAGCTGAATAGCAAACCAGTTACAGGACTGAGAAAAAAATACAGTTTCCAAATTATTTTAAAATTGATAACAAATACGAAATTAAAAATATTTAAATAAAATGTAAATTAAAATAAAAAACAATTGGGCAGAGCTAACAGTAAAAGCTAGTTCCGCCCAACTGTTTCCTATTGGCCGCCACCTGCTAGAGTCTTCTAGCAGGTCCTGTCCAATGAATAACAACTGGGCAGAGACGACCGGCTCGGCCCAGTTATTATTGTTTAATGACAGGTCAGCTGATCTGTCATTACAACTGGGCGGAGCCAGCTGTGAGATCAGGGCTGGCTCCGCCCATCTGCCATTTGCAGGGCCCCGCTTTGGCTGTCACTTTGGCTCGGTCGAGCCGAAGCATATGCCTTCGGCTTGGGTGAGCCGCTCGACCACCTTTGGCTGCTGTACTGTAAATAGCCCGTACAGCCGCCCTTCGGTTCCGGTGGCCGAAGGATCAGCCGAATAGTGAATAACCCCCATAATCCCTCAGATCTTTGGAAAATGACAAACAACTGCAGACAATATGGAGTCTCGGTGTGTATAAACCTCTTCTTCCTGAGGCTCCATTCACATATAGCGTTTGCGTTTCCCACGCTGTTTTCCGTGTGGAAGACCGCACGGGGCGCAAATGTTATGAAACAACTGCACGGATTCCACTCATTTGCGGCTATTATATAGCCCCGAACGTGCGGAATCCACCGTATTGTCGCACTTGCACTATTTTAGGAGCTGCGCAGTTTCGTTCTGCGCGTTCCCTGCAATAGTCTGAACAATGCACGTTAAAGAGCATTGTTTTTTCTGTGTAGAGCAGCTCCGCGTGTATTCGTACAGACGAATCCACGCGGACAGCCGCCCCAGTGTGAATGGAGTGTTGGTAACGCAGTCTGTAGGATTCTTTTAAAGACTGGAGGTGATAGCTTGATTAATATTATCTCCAGCACAAGCCTGGCAGAAACTCAATGGCAGCTAGGTGTAAGTTCCTCCAATCTCCAGGCCTGCCCATCTCTTCACATTTCAATGGTGAACATTTGTCTCATTATTGACCATGGAACTAAGAATGGAATCATCTATATCAACTCATGTCCATATTTTAATATCTCAGGACCCCTGCAGACAGAAGTCCGTGTTTTCCTTATCTAGGTACTAGGCCAGTAAGGGGAAAAAATGCCATTAAAAAAAATGAAAATCATGCAGGAGGAGCTGAGCTGCTATGTGTTGCTGGAAGAGGTGAGAAAAGTGAGCTGAACTGCAGGGTCACCTGGGAGAGGGGTGCAGGGGGAGCTGAGCTGTTATCTCGCTGCTGGGAGAGGGGTGCAGGGGGAGCTGAGCTGTTATCTCACTGCTGGGAGAGGGGTGCAGGGGGAGCTGAGCTGTTATCTCACTGCTGGGAGAGGGGTGCAGGGGGAGCTGAGCTGTTATCTCACTGCTGGGAGAGGGGTGCAGGGGGAGCTGAGCTGTTGTCACTGCGGGAATAGGGGAGTATGGGGATGTGAGCTGCTGCTGAAAGGGGGGGATCAAGGGAAGCTGAGCTGATGAATCAAAACTGGGAAGAGTGAGCTGAGCTGCTCAGTCATTGCTGTAAGGGGGAGCGGAATGAGCTGTCACTGCTCGGAAAGTGGAAGATGAGCTCCCAGTGCTGGGAGGGGGAGCTGAGCTACTGACAGAACAACTTAGATGAGTTTAGTGCTCCTGCTTTAAACTTTTAGGATGAATTGCCCATAGTACCTACAGATACTGAAGGCAGGAAAGGTCTGTTTTAAAACTCAATTACTGTTTGTTCAGCATATGGAAATTAGGGCTGCAACAACTAATCGACTAAGTCAATTATAATCGATGATTGAAAAAGTTGTCAACAATCATTGATTAATCGGCTTTCGATTAGTTGGCCATGTTCACAGCGCCGCGCGCCGCACCTCCTTCACGCCTCATGCTCGCCGCTGCCATACCCGCTGCCCGCATCCACGCTCAACACACCGCACCTCCTCCACCGCCTCATGCTTACCGCCTGCCCACATCCACAATCGGCACAGGGACGCGGGGAGAAGAAGCAGAAGAAGCAAGGAGGAGCAGGCGTGGGGGGATGACAGCCGCCGACAGACAGGCCCGATCTCAGAAGCAAGTTGCTGGAAGACTGCTCAGGTAAGCCTGCACTTCCCTCTCCCCCCACATGGGGCTCTATAATGTATTGCTGGGATAGTGGGATTTGTATTCCAATATAGCTGATATTAAATAGCTGTATATTAAACAGGGCAATGTACCATCAGCTATAGAGGAATACAAATCCCAGCAATACATTGTACACTGTATGTATAATGTATTGCTGGGATTTGTTGTATTCCTATATAGCTGGTGGTATTCTGCATTGCGCTGTATAGAGGACTACAATTTCCAGCAATAGCACATTATACAGCGCAATGCAGAATACCGCCAGCTATAGAGGACTACTAATACTAATACTATACATTATAGCTGGCGGTATTCTGCATTGCGCTGTATAATGTACTATTGCTGGGATTTGTAGTCCTCTATAGCAGGTGCCATTCTGCATTGATTGCTGTATAATTTTACACTTTCCATTTCACTATATTGCACACCACACTTTTTTTTAAATTTTTTTTTTACTTCCACCGTTCCAAGCTTGCTCATGTGATGGAGTGCAATCTCAATACAAACTAGAAGTCCATCACTGGAGCCATTTGTTTTATCGCGATTAACCGATTAATCAAACGTAATAATCAGCTAACTAATCGATTTTGAAAATAATCGTTAGCTGCAGCTCTAATGGAAATACTTAACTGTCCATAGCCTGACTATGGACTTCCACCCCCCCCAACCCATGACCATAAGCCTAACTCTAGAGTTAAACCCTGATCTAGTAAACCCTCAAAAACCAATTATCACTGGAATTATCACGCCAGCACTCCTATCATGAATCTGAATTGTAAGAAAATATAATAGTCTCCTGCTGATTCATAATGGTCCCAAAATGACCTGGACATTGAGGAACACTGAAGATGACTCAAAGCCCAACCAATACAAAAGATGGTCGACTGATTTGTATAAGTGGAATACATTCGTCATTCCACTGTCAGCTACCCAGGTAGGCTATAAAAGGCTGATAAAAGTATCTTTGAATAGGATCAGTAAGAGAACCTCAATTGCACGCAGGAATATCTTCCACTCATTCTCAGAATTAATTCTATCCTACATACAGTTCTATTAATTTCCTGGAATTTTAAATGATGTTTATGTATTTTTTTTATATTATTGAGAATATTTAATGATTGCTTTATTTAATCTAACTTGCCCTGTACCTGCACTGGTCCTCTGGGTGGTGGAATGCATTGAGGGCAGCAGAAACTGTGCTATGAAAAGCAGCCACAAGGTGGCAGCAGAACATTACTCACCCTTCCCTTCCTCCCTTCCCCTTTTCACTGTTGTGCTGTGTTTAAAGGTCCTTAATTGTTCCTAAACTGTGATTCATGAAAGTGATCATTTCATCAAAGCCACAAAGAGAGCCACACTGGAGCAGTCACAGTAGGAGAGTGACAGAGCGCAGCTACACTGCTGTATATCCGACTACAGGAGCCCCCCCAAGTCTGCAGCATCCCAGAACCAAGGTGAGTAACAAGTTGGGGTTCCTCTGTACCCCAATATTCTATTCTGTCCTTTTCATCACCATTCCAGCTCTGTACTTTTCAGGTAACTTCAATTCCCTTCAATATGTAAAATATTTTATTAGATTTATTTACATTATTACATTGATTTATTTACTCTGGTAGATGTTTTTCTGAAGATTTTGTACATTTTAAGTTTTTATAATTTAATATAAATGTAATATTTTTAATGTTTATTTATTGTTTTTGTAAGTAGTTAATTTAGTAAAACTTGCTTTTGTACATTTGTTTTATATTATATTCTGTGTAAAGTTTCTAAAGCTTTCAATTAATGTTATCAGTTCAAACTCTGGAGGAACCAGAAATACATAAGAATTCCTTAAATGTTTTCTTTTCCTTATGAATTTTGGATGCAATCTCTGCTCAGAGTATTTTATGGGTATTTTAGGCAGAATTTGCATGTTTTCTCTATTTTTTTGCTCTTTATTTTGTCGCTGTGCAGATGTGACAAGTGATGACCACCCTGATCCAGAATATTGTTTGATATAAAAACATTCCTCATCATAATAATATAAATAATTTCTACACAATTCAAAGCTACTTTGTCATCTACATAACTGCGTCCTTTATTTGCAAAGTCATTATTATACATTACATTATTATTAAGTTGAATGTTTATAGTCACATTGCATGATGTGCTAAATAATATTGGGGGACAGATAAAAAAAAAAAATGTTCTGAACTAATTCTAAAAAATAGTTACAAAATGATTAATGATTGAATAAATGATTAAATATTAAACATTGGATCATGTTTCTATTTAGTTAGTTCTAAATAGTTTCCATTATATGCCGCACTTCTCAGAATGACAACGTATAAACTGTTACACAATACTTGACTGAAGAGCGAGAAATATAAGAGGACGCTTCCTTCTTTGACCACAGAAGCTTACACTCTATCTTAGAAAGGGGTGTAGGAGGTGAACATTGTGGAGTGACAGGCTCTCTGTGATGGATACAAGACATAAGTGGCAGACACAGAGCAGAATATTTGTTGTAATAGTTACTCGTCATGGCAACGTACGGATGAATAGGACATTAATTAGCAGAAGGTATTGACATGGTTCAAGATTTGGTGTCTTCACACCTCCACATCCCAGAGTCATTGGATAATAAACTGATAATTATCAGAGCTGCTTGCTGTCCTTTGCAATTAGCACAGTGCGGATCCTAAATAGATCTGATCACAAGAGGAACAGCCGCAGAGTGTCACTCCGACCTTCCTAAATTATTTTTGTATCAGGGCGCCTCCAAAATGATACATTTTATACACTTGGGTTGTGATTGCTTTGCAACAATTTGGAGGATAATAAAAGTTAATGACGTATTACCTTAACGGACCACTTCAACCATCTGCGCAAGTGAGATCCTGCCTAAAGGCACATTGCTGCCATGCGCCTGTCACCGCCTGCCAATCAATAACATTATACAATGTGCCAGAAAGAGCATTCATACCAAGAACGGGTGAGATTTACTAAAGGACTCAGTTATTCTATACACACTCCAAATAGACAAATGTACTGGTATTATTTTTCCTACTCTCATTTATAAATGGAACAGGAACATATTGATAAATTAGATTTGTGTCTTGCAGCTTTGGGAAATGGGCCGGATCTGTGTCTTTGTACTGATCACATTGGTGGTCTACCGGGATGGCTGCTCAGGGAATCGGGCCAGTGCTAGAATGGAAGATCACTCAGGTATGGGCTGATGAGATAAAACTCTTTTCCATCAGTTTTAATGGCTGCTCTACCCTAATGCAATGTGACTGTTTTACACCGAAGGGTGAGACTCCCCTTCTCTGGGGCCACAGTTATTTCTAGAAAGTCTTAGTGACACTAAACTCAGAAGTTAAATCTTAAAAATACATTCAAGTACCTTAACTATTAACATAAATGTATCTTATTTGTGTATCACTCAGCTGTAGTTCCTCAAATAATCTCTGAATTGGTGCTGACACTGTCCTTCCTTCTGGAGGGGGGCTACTCTTGTTCCCCATGGTCCCTGTGTGTGTTGTAAAGTAGCCACAGGTCCCAGCTCGCTCCCATGATGGACTACAATCTCATGTTCAGTTTACTAATTTGTATCGAGATTCAGAGGTGTCCTGAGGCGGGGTGCACCTGGTGCGGCACACCTTATCCTGCCGGGTGACGTCCCCTCTCTCTCCATCACCAAGATGGCCGCCGGCAGGCAACAGCGCATGCGCGTGATGACGTCACGCCCACCACCGATGTTACCTGCCAGCTGCCATCTTGGTGATGGACGCCGGCAGAGAGAGGAGGGGACGTCACCTGGCGGCATAAGGTATGCCGCCGTGTCCCCTCCTCTCTCGAGCAACTGTCGGGCTCTTGGTCCTTGACCGGGTGCCCGACTTTTCAGAGGGGGGTAACACCAAAATGACTGTCAGTCATTTTGGTGTCACCCCTCCAATGGTGTCACCCGGGTGCGGGCCACCCCCCCCCCTTGTGACGCCACTGTCGAGATTGTAGTCCATCACAGGAGCAAGCTCGGGAGGAAGGAGGGGCTCAGATTTGGAGGGGAGTGGGGGTAGAATGTGGATGAGAGAGGCTCAAATATGGAGGGAAGAGGGGCCCAGATATGGAGAGGAGAGGGGCTTAGATATGGGGGGGGGCTCAGATACTGAAGGGAGAGGGGATCAGATCCAGAAGGTAGAGAGGCTCAGATTTATAGGAGAGAGGGCCTCAGAATCAGATGGTAGCGGGCTCAGGCACAGTGGGGAGAGGGGCTCAGATATGGAGGGTAGTGGGGTTCACATACAGACAGTAGTTGGGTTATGATTTGGAGAGATAAGAGCTCAGGGAAGAGGGGCCCATATATGGAGGAGAGAAGGGCTCAGATATGGAGGGTAGAGGGGCACAGAAATGAAGGGGAGAAAGGCTCAGATCCAGTTGGCTCAGATATTGAAGGGCTCAGATTCAGAGGAGATCCGATCCAAATTTGAAGAGGGGAAGTAGGGGCTCAGATACGGAGGGTAGTGGGACTCAGATATGGAGGGTGGTGGGGCTCAGATATGAAGGGGAGAGGGGCTCAGATATGGAGGGGAGAGGGGCTCAGATATGGAGGAGAGATGGGCTCAGATATGGAGGAGAGAGGGGATCCGATCCAGAGGGAAGAGGGGCTCAGATCTGGAGGAGAGAGGGCTCAGATATGGAGTAAAGAGTAGCTTAGATCGAGAGGGGTGCAGATTCATGGGGGTGTCTCAGCCCCCAAGGCTACACCTATAAATGAAATAACATTTTAAGGGGACTGATTTATGAATTTCTAAGTGTTCTGCCTCTTGTAATGAAATTCTAACGCCACATTCTTTTCCCACATCTAGAGTTCGATTATCCAGAGAGTGAATTGCCGGTGAAGAGGAACCCCTACCCCCTGGTGAGAAGCGCTGAAAGCCAGAACTGGGCAGATCACCCCAACATCTGCTATTTCATACATGAGAGTCAGTCAGAGGGTCAGATCTCCTGCCGGCTGCGCTTTACTCGAAGTAAGTTTAACTTTAACCCCTTTGGACTGCGCTTCGGCAAGCGAGATCACAGTGGCGTTGTCGCAAAGAGATTCCCCGAAACCTCCAGCGGCCATTTTCTACATGACCTTCTGAAACTGAACGACAAACAGACTCCACCATGTGGACTGGCCTCTGCCGAGCGATGCTAGCTGGGATTTTATATTTGTGTATTTATTATTATGTCTGCTGACATTTTATATCCCTTTTCCTGTTCTGAGTCTCATTTTCTGTACAGGTCAGTCTTGTTTGGGGGGACAGAATCTTAATGCACTATGCTCATGTTGTCTGCAGCAGTAATACAGTTATATATTTCTGTCTGAAATTATGTTTTTGTTGTGTTTTTAATAAAAGTGTTTGCAAGTGTCCCTATTTCTAAGCCTTGACACAATTAAAGGTTTTCAGTGATGTTGAACTGGGTGGAGGATGGCTGGGAGATGATGGGTCTTTGTTTGTCGTGTCCGTTGTGTAATTAAATGTAAGGACATGCACAAAAAAACACTTTATGGCACTTTAAACCTTATCTTCCTCATTGCAGAAGAACGCCATTGTGTGACATTCACTTGGCACCGAGGAAGGCGGCTTTGGTGTAAAACTAATCTTCCTAGATTGATATTGATTGTATATGGAGCTGACACCAGCCCTGATTTTGTGAAGGTAACTGGCCCAGAGACTAAATTGTAATGAGAGTAGAGTGTGCCCGTTTTTGGAATTTTATTTTCACCCTTTTTTTTTTTTAAAGAATAAAATTAAGGTATTAAAAAAAAAAACAAGCAGAAGAACACAAAACATTTGCAGGGTTATTCACAAAAGGTTGAAGAGTTTGGAGAAGACAGGAGAAGTGAACAATCTCGGACAACATAACTGATTTGGAAAAATTCTCCAATTCAGCTCACTTTCCAGTTTAGCTATGTTGTCCTAGATTGTTCCCTTCTCCTGTCTTCTCCAAACTCTTCACCCTTTTGTGAATAACCCTGTTAATTTTTATTGAATACCAGCTCCGGAAGGGGTACAGAGTGCATGAGCGTCCATAACTACAAGTCATACTCAACATGGTAAGAATGCAGAGGAAACCAGCCGGTATAATGGCAAGATAATAAAGAGTGGAGTTTGTCCCCATTTATCTATGGGAGCTATGCCTGCACCCATCCAAGGGACCTAAACAATAACAATAGGAAGAAAAAGAGGAGATAAAACAAGGAGAGAAAAATAGATGAAAGTGGAAGAAAGGATTGCAGAAAAGGTAAAGTAAAGAAAGAAAAGTAAAAGGAGAGAGAGAGAGAGAGAGAGAGAGAGAGAGAGAGAGAGAACAGCTATGTGCTTAGTACTTTGCCAGTGGGGCAATGTTATATGAATAGAGCATGTGTTACAAACAAAGCCACATGACACCAGCTTTCCTATCACAGAGTTCTCTCTGCTGTGATAAGCAGAGAGAAATCAGTGCGCTCCGCAGGCTCCATACTCACCTTTTAACGTTCCCGAAACACCCCACCACAAAATAGGAAATTAACTCAAGTCCAAACCATATGGTTGAAAGCAAGTAAAACCAGAAAAGGCAATCCAAACACTCCATGTAGGAACAAACATAGGGTAAGTATCAAATAAACAGGGTGAAGGCTCTTCCAGGAGTATGACTGCACTAACTTCTTTAACCCAAGAGAGGCCTCTCTTGACAACACCTCGAGAGCCAGGAATGATGGAGAGCAGGGCTATCTCCGGGGTTAAGGGAATTAAGTCCCCGTCACTGAAGTGCTCATGGCAAAACAGAGCGCTAGAAGGACCTCATATGGCTGATAATAAGACCACCAAATATGAAGCAACGTACCCTACTCAACACCACAGCGCCAGCACCTGAAATAGACGGACTGTATCTCGACAAAACAGAAGGACAGTGATACCATCCGGTAAGTATTTTGTAATTTTGTTCTTGGGCTTGGCTGGCTATACTAGTCTTAAAAGTCAGAAGGAACGATTTCTCCCAAGCTATAGGATGTCCCTGATCTCTCTCCCATTTCAAAGTATAAAGATGGCGACATGGAAAGGCATCAGTAGAAAGAATATCATATTGTCGAACTTTCACTATTTTTTAATTGAGTTTTATTAAATAAAGAACAGAGCCGAAAGACAGGGAGAAACAGGTTGGGTATCACAAGAGACAACTTTTACTCTATTAAAACAATCTGTAGTCAATCTTGGAGGTGTGTTTTATTGTGTATCAAGGTATCAAACTTGTAGCACAATATAAGTATTCTTATTAAATAAAACAGAACAAAACAGAAGGTAAACAATAAATGTCAAACTAAAATAGAGTCTATAAAAATAAAGTCTCAGGTTGTCATGCCGACCCTTTTTTCAAGTAATGAATTACTATATGTCCAAATATACGAAAAATGTTTTCCGGCACATAATAAATTGTTTGAGAATGTGCGGGGGCCATGTTGGCCCCCGGCGTGTTCTGTGAATGCGTGCCACCATCATGGAGGCGGGGAGCATGATGTTACATGACGCCATGCATGTGTGGCGTCAGGTAACATCACACGCCGATATTGGCCGCACCATCTTGGTGTATAACTAGATATACACCAAGATGGCGGTGCCCAACACATGCGGTGTTATATGATGTCATGCGCCCTGCCTCCAGAACACGCCAATGGCTGAATCCAAAATAGCATATACATTTGTTTTGTTTGTTAAAAATGAATGAAACGTTTTTAGTTTTTGTTCATTTCATCTGAAATTAATTTTTAGTCTTGGCACATGTCTAATAATACGTGTGTGTGGGGGTGGGAGGGAGGCAATTTTCACTTTTTTAAAATAATTTTTTACATTTTTTATAATTTATTACTATAATTTTTTTATTATTTTTTTATAAAGTTCCCCAGACCACCAGCTGCTAAGGTTTGGATAGAAAATAAGGAGTTCATCTATTCCCTATGGATTTGGGATGGAATGGCTTGAGCTATGAGGATCACTAGATGCCACCATTGAGGTCCATGCTTTACAGATGAAACCATAGTGGAGTATTCTGTGATTCAAATTATTTTATTTAGGGTTAGTGCTACAAAGAAAGCTACAGGGTCCTGGACTGGGGTGATATGTTTTTCAATGCATAAAATGGGGGCCCCCTAGTGGCAGTTTGATAAGCCAGTTCCTGCCTGGGGCCTACTATACATATTCAGTAATGGCAGGTCTAAAACTCCAGTAACCAACCACTTCAGTCCACTACATTTTATGGTTTCCCACTCTTTTCTGCCTTAGACTTTATCAGGAACCACTCAATTACATCAGGAAATCACCCATGTGCACGGTGGTTCCAGGCCTAAAAGGGGTTCCACCGAACAATGGGGGCCAATGATACATAGGGGTCCAGGTTGCAATACCACCACAAGGGATCCAACCTTAACACTGCCCAGCAGTCTGACCCTCCTATGGGTCACCACCCAATCCATAATCAGAACTGGTGCAAATATCTTTGTGAACAGATACCTGGAATTACACCCAACATACGGGACAAGAGAACTGGTACTGTGCAGAGTCCATACATACAGAATAAGAACAGATACTGAGAATTACACCCAACATACAGGACAAGAAAAGTGGTACTGTGCAGAGTCCATACATACAGAATAAGAACAGATACTGAGAATTACACACAGGCATACAGGACAAGAGAAGTGGTACTGTGCAGTGTCCATACATACAGAATAAGAACAGATACTGAGAATTACACCCGGCATACAGGACAAGAGAAGTGGTACTGTGCAGTGTCCATACATACAGAATAAGAACAGATACTGAGAATTATGCGTTTATCTCCTAATTGTTTGCTACATGTATAAAGTTGTTATGGTTGTTTTTCCATGTTTTGGTTCCAATGCACTATCGTCTGTCTCCCCTCCCGGCTGTGAGATTACTATTATCCAAACACTTTTCTCATTCATTTTTCCGGATACCTGGATGTTGCTGTGCTCCCTCTCGGCTCCTGGAATTCCGGGGAGAGTTACAATACAATGAATGAGATGTGATGGATATTGATTAAAGTGAATTTATTACATGTGGGTCACATTCACCCTCAAAACGCAGCAGAGCCTCATAAACGGCTGCACATTAAATGATACAAATACATTGTTTTATTTTCAATCTCATCAATTAAGACAATTCTCAGAATTATTGCTCATTTATATAAAGGGAAACGCGCGACGGTCCTTATAACAGCACGCCATGCGGTAAATCAAACACAAAGAAACAATCCCGGGGATGTTTAATGAAATGGATTCCTCGTGGAGTTACATTATTTTATAAATTTCAGATGTGATGCTGCCACTTAACACGCAATTAACCTTTCCGCATCTCAGAAATGACAAATAACGGACAGGCAAATTGTCTTTTTTTGTGTGACGCCACTTGATAAGCACAATAAAATGACTAATACACCACCTGTTCCCTGACACATTAAACACAATAAATTTCAACAAGATACACTAGAGGAAACTGTGCTACGCGAATCAGCCAATCATATAGCAGCTATGGAGTTAAAGGAGCAACCCACCTAAAAGTGATATTTCAGTGCTTAAGGGATGCTGGAAAGTTAAACTGCTTATTGGTCTCTTCCTGTTGTGCCCATTATGATGCCTTCCCACCATCTTTGCACACTTGCACACCTGCTCTGCCCATTATGAGAGGTTTCCACTATTCCTGGGTTGAGTTCCTGGGTCTGCACACATGCTGTGCCCATAAAGAGAAGTTCCCACAGTCCCTACGCTGAGTTCCCAGGTCTGCACACCAGCTGTGTCCATCATATGGGGTTCCCATCATCCCTGAGCTGAGTTCCTGGGTCTGTACACCTGCTGTGCCAATAATAAGGGGTTCCCATCATCCCTGTGCTGTGTACCGGGGTCTGCACATCTGCTGTGCCTATTAAGAGGGGTTCCCACCATCTTTGCTGCTGCCAGAGGTGTATCTGCAGATAATAGTGCCTATGGCAAGCACTCAAATTGCACTCATTTCCAAAAACTATTTTAGATAAACTTACCATAATATCATCTCAAATATACAACTCAAACTCTCATCAGAGTCCCTTTTTACATCAAAGTCTACAGAGGCCCCCTTGCATCAGAATCCTCCCCTTTACATCAGAACCCTCAGATTTCCCCTTACCTCAGCATCCTCTGATTTCCCCCTTACATCAGCATCCTCAGATTTCCCCCTTACATCAGCATCCTCAGATTTCCCCCTTACATCAGAACTCTCAGATTTCCCCCTTACATCAGAGTCCTCAGATTTCCCCCCTTAAATCAGAGTTCTCAGATTTCCACCATACATCAGAACTCTCAGATTTCCCCCTTACATCAGAGTCCTCAGATTTCCC